TTTCAATCTTTTCTTTTTAATTATTTTTTATTTCCTGTTAATAAAAAGACTTTTTGAGAGATTTTCACTAAAATAAATACTTATTTTTGAAGTAATTATTTCTAAATAAGTTTTATTAACATTTAAGAAATTCATTGTTTTCCTAAACAAAGACATTACTCGTATCTACTATGTTTTAAGTTTTTATATTTAATAACAATTTTAAAAAGTTTTTCAATTCCTTGTATATCATAAACAACATAAACTAATAAGAAGCTGTGCGAGTTTCCAAAGCGTTAGGTTTTATTGATAATTTTACAATAAAAAAATGTATGATTATTTACGAAATTGAACTGATTATGAATCAATTTTACTCAGTGCTGGGTACTTAGATTTCTTAGCCGAATATAAGTGTTCAAGTTTTTTTTGAGTCTGAGTACTTAGAATCTTTAACTTATGTTTGACTTAGGGTACAAAACTAAAATTTGTATTTCAAAACACTAATTTGTAAAATAAATTGTAATTAAGAAAATTTGAAATACAGAAAAAATTTGTATTTCAAAAGAAATGTCATATAATTTGCAACACTCAGTAAACTCTCGTCTGAAGCACTAGAATACTATATTTGATAATACTCTGTAATACTATATTTGATGTATAAATTTTTTTAATCAATGACTAACAATACAAAATTAATATACTTATCGTGTCATTGTTTATGGTCATATATACTCCAAATTCCCCATCATCTGGTGAAAAGAATAAATTTTTAAGCTTCGGGAAGTTCAAAGTACCGGATTTTTTTCTTCATTATTGTCGGGGAAATCTAAGTTTTCTGTTTATTTATTTTTTAGTAGCATCATCTATAGCAAATGCATCTACTTAACTAATGGAATACTATGCAAGATATAAATTCTAAAAACAATCATAATTGCAATGAAAAGTAAAATAAATGTTTAATTAGGTAGCAAAGTGAAAAATGATCTATTTATTTTTATTTGACAATTAATAAACGCAAGCAGATTGTAACAGTGGCCGGGATAGCCTGGTTGGTTGGGCATTCGGTCCAGTTCCAGGAGGTCATGAGTTCAATCCCTGAGGGCTAAAGACCCTTGTGTAGTAAATGGTGATTGGTGCATATTAAATCTGTTGGATTACAAAATCCTCCTTATTCCCAAAACATAAAAATACCTCCGAGGGTACTGAATTGGATATTAATCGTTCTCTGGTTCAGATCGAAATTACGAACTGTGGATAAATAAATAAATGCATGAATGGGTCCACCCTATAAACGGGCTGTGACGTGTGTGGGGCTGAAGTTGTATTATTGACCAAAATGGCAACATTGAAAAACAAGAAAAAGCACACTCTACTGGTTTCTGCAAGCTGGCTTGCTGGTATTGGCAAGCGGCATTAGAAACAGCAACAACAGATTGTAATAGTTAAAAAAAGCAGAAAAGAGATAATTGATACTTGCAATAAAAAGCGAAGGAATACAATAGCAGGAAGTAGACTACAATACAATTTCGTAAAATTTGTTCTCGAGTGGTTCGAAAAAGCTTTACATCCATACAAAAGCAAGAAGCCTTTTATGAAAACAGTGTTTAGTTGCAAATTAAGTTATAAAGTTAGCAGCTGTTAACAGTAATATAGTGTAAAAGCATTAACAGAAGTTTACTCAAGTATTCAAACACTTTTCTACAGTGACATTTACAAAGAATCATCAAATTTTATAAATTTCATTGCAAAAAAAACTTTTAATACCGGTTATTGTTTTATTTCAATGTACAGTGAGAAAAAAAATTACGTTTAAAATTACCAGAGTATGGTAAAAATAATCGCGTTTCTGGCTCTATAGAAACACCAAACAGCTCGGTAATTTTTAGCTAAGCACTTAGGTAATGATTTTGCAAAAGTAACGATAAAATATGGTTTTATAATGTGTCATAACATTTGGTAAAAAGTAAAGTATTAAATGTGGTAAAATATGGTAATTTTATCATGATACCTTAGAGCTTGACATACAAACCATTTAATCAGATAAACTTACTTTTAAGTTTTGTATTGTTTTCTATGTATGGGATATAGTAAGAACTGTAATTTTGAAAACTGGAATTTTCGGTAAATCGTAATCATACGACCGAAAAAAATACCAAATGATTGGTTTAAATACCGGATATTTTAGTTCTATTAACCAGAAACATGATTTTCTTTACCAGAAATGTCATTACCATGGAGTACTGTAATTTTATCAGAATTTCGTTCTGCGTATTATTATGTGTATATTACTATTCTATATATTTATTTAAAAAATATTTATATTAAAGTTTACTTCTAAATTTAATAATTTCTCTCATTTAGTTTAAAATATTAAACAATATGATTTATTCCTTCGTTATTTACTATAATATATCATTTATTGAGTGTTATTTATTTATCATAAATTCTTTATTACTATTAGAAATCATGTAATGTTAAAGTTTTAGCATTCAAAAATATTAAACTATATTTATCTGTTTGATTTTATTATTAATATTTAAAACATGTATATTTACGAGCACTGAGAATTTCAATAATATAAGTAGTCTCAGATTTGAATTCATTCATTTTCTTTTAATTTTTTGCAATGTACCAGCTAAATAAGCAGTAACACACATTTCTATTTTCATATTATTAAACTGCTTCGATTTTTAAAGCAAAATTATGTTTAAAAAGGTGACTTAAAAATTCTATATTTAAAAAATATTTGTTCTTATTTTATTATTGAAATTCGGGAGTTTTTTTAATAAGATTCGCAGGTTATGTTGCGAATCTAATGAAGTGTATAAAAAGTAAAAAAAAATATTTAAATTTTTTTTTCTTCATATAAGTAAATAAATTAATTAATGAGTAAAAAATACCTAGTTTATCAGAGTCAAAAATAATAATGAATTTTTTTTGAAAAATATTCTCAATTATTGAGACAACCAAAATACAAATTGTATCTGTAACTTAGTTTTCTTTTTTTTCTTTCGAATACTACATTTTTAAAGCTACTGTAAAGCTTTAGACCTATTGAGTTATTTCTTTGCTCTTCTGTTATTTGTTTTCTGGTGTCAGAATTGTCTTTTGTGCCACCGTCTTGGAAATAAAAGAATCCTTTTTAAAGCTAAAAGCTATAATGGATTTAAAGTGCTTTGAAGTAATTGAAACAATCAAGCAAATTGTTAATAAAGAATTGTGTATATTTTAGGAAAAGAGGACTTAGCAGGTTCATTATGCCTTCTTTTTGACTTAAAATGAGTTTATTAACACTAGATTGCCTAAGGAAGTCATTTTGACTGCTTTTTAATTTCAATTAGAAAAACAATGATGTATGTAATAACACAATTTCATTGAATTTCGTGATTTTTTGTACAATATATAATTTTTTAATTTTTAATATTTACTAATAACTTGTTTATAACTAGTATAAATAATATAAAATTAATTTCAAACATATTTCTTTACAAATTAGTCCAGTTATTTTGACTGCTTTTGGGCAATATAGGTATATAATAAGTTTTTCAGTCTTTCTAGTATTAAATAAAAACTTTTATTTGAGTCAATGAGTTTTAAAGTTATATTTTTTTAAAGGTTGCATAAAAATTCCTCGAAAAATGCGTTTTTGAATATTGTCTTATTTTTTGTGGACTTACGAAGGATTGATATGGGTTTTCTTATTCATGTCAAATAGTTTTCCTTTTTTAAAAAATTAAATATTCTATGTATTCGGAAATCTTACATGCTTATTATATGTTTAGTATCATATGATAACGCAGTTTAAATTCCAATGATTCCTTGCGTAAGGCAAGAACAAGATAAATAATATGTTAAAATTTCTTTAAATCTACTTATAATTTAATTAAATTCGTCTTTAAAATTGATAAATTGAAAGGAATAACTTCTTAGCTAATTAGAATAAAATTAGTTTTATTTTTGCTTCACTTTTTCGTGATTTTATATTCAATATTATAAAACATGCTTTAGATTGTTAACTATGCCAAATGTTCATTTGGAATTCATAAATTATTTTCCATTGAGTTAGACATTAATAGTATTGGTTATTATCAATAATTTACAAAAATAAATTAATAAATAAAATAAAAAATAATAAGTAGGAGAACGTTATTTATGTTATAAATTTACGTTATTTATATATTAAGATTTACACGGTATGAAATAAAACAATGTGACAACATAATTGAAAGCTCTTGGTATGAATAAAGATATATGTGAAAGCAAATTGGTGGAATTCTTAAAAGTGAAATTTGGAAAAGTGAATTAGAGTTTTATTCATTTTCTTAACAGTAAACTATCATTCTTGCTTATTATAAATGCTAATTTATTTTTATTATTTTTTTGGTTTTAAATTCCTAGTTAAAGTGTTAAAAAACTGACATATTCAAAGGTTGTGTCCCTATAAATCATTTGTAGTGTAAGACGAATCGTGAGACCGAGAACGTTTCGGTTTTTTTATGACTTTTTTCACCCAAAACAAATACATTTTGCCGTTTTAATTCCTATTTGTTCCGGTATCTGGATTTTTTTTAAATTTTACATTTTTACATTTCTGAGGTAAATCTTAACTAGCTTGCATAAGCTACATAAGCCATTTGCTAATTAATTAAGAATTGTAACATTTAGAAGGTATTAACGGTGCGAATAAAATAACGCTCGAAATAATAATAATAAAAAAGCTTTCGTTTCATGCATGCTAAAAATATGCGTTATATAGAGCCGGTACTTCTTACCGTAATTTGATCCGGAATTTTTTACAGAACTTCATTCTCAATCATCTTAAAATTTTCTCTATGCTTCCTTTCTCCCTTGTACACATATCCCATAATTAAAGCGAAAAAAGTTATTTTGAATACTATTAGATGGAAGTGTTTATAAAAACATTATCAATTACTCACTTTGAGGTAGTACTTTATTGAAGCTGTTCTCTGCTCTTATTTTAGTGTTTTATTATTGTGAGAAATAAAAAAATTGGAGCTTACCTTGAGGGGCAGCTAAGCGATCCCTCCATAAAGAATTAACTGTTGGCCAGTAAACATGGGATGGTCTTCCAGGTATATCTCCCAATTTATGTAAACTAGGATTTGTTGGTGCAAAATACATGCCAGGTCCTACACCAAGACTAATCTTTGGAAGTGCAGCACCTAATGTTCCTAAAGTTGGTGGTGATGTCATAGTCGGTCGGCTAAGAATGTCATTAATCCCATGAGGAGTGGCCGATGACACAGGGGTGATACAGCTTGTTTTCATGATCGATTGATGAGTTGTTGGTCCACCATAAGGTGCAAGAGCTGAAGCTTTTATTTCAGCCATTGTATGAAGAGCAGCTAAGGGAGGACTTGTACCAAGTAAGAAATTCTGTCGAGACACTGCTTCCATATTAAGATTGAGCATTGAAAGCATGGAACTGGCACTAGTCGATGTTGTTGAAGGAGTAAATTCTAGCATCTTGTTTTTTTATTTTAAGATTGTAATATCTCCAAACAAAAAACTGGTGAAAATTAAAATCCTGCAAATGACAAGTTGTAGTTAAGCTGTTTAGGTTTTAAGAAAGAAGGTTTTTCTTTGTACTTACGCATACTACAATGCAGAGCTTTTAATCAACTTTTCTTTAATCAGTTCAACTAAAGTTATTTTCTTTAAATTTCATATGCAAGAATATGTGTCGAAGTTGTTTTTCTTAAGATGAAGCAACTATAAGTAAAGCTATGAAAGGTTTAAAAAGTTAGTTGAAGATGCTTGCATTTATGAATCGATGCTAAAGTTACTTTATTTTGTAAGTCCATTACTAATTGACAACATTTTAGCCAAAAGTAGTATTTTCCTTTATTCAGTATTTCTTGTATTCAAAAAGGAAAAAAAAATTATAAAACTTATTACATATTCATACTCGTCTAAGAAAGGAACACGTCTTGTTTATTAATGTAGCTTTCATGTCACTTTTAAAATTCTGCAAACTAAATATACCATTTAATTTAACTGCAATAAATTGCTTTCCAAAATTCAAATTTTGAGATTTAAAACATTCATCAATTCACACTTTTAGTCTATTCGTGATCAGATTTGGAATTATTCTTTGTTTTAACAGAATGCCGCAAGCAATAATTGCACTGAAGACTTTTCAGAACTTTGTTTCTTTGGGAATGCTTGTGTGAAACTTAGTGCTCCAGGGAATATATCTCCTAAGAATTCCTGGCATACTGAATTACGATCGGGTATCCATTTGAAGGCCGCGGTATGTTGGAATGTGAAGGGGTTGGGCGGTACAGTATTTTGTGGGAGGGGCAAATTTTACTTCTCTTATAGGGTGCCGAATGGGAGGCGGAGTTTTAAATCTAGCTTTGGAAGTTCGGGGGGACTTCCAGCTTTTGAGCGGGTGCAAACGTTGATGGGTTGAAAGTGAAAACTTTTCCCGAAACAACTCAGGCTGCAGGTGAGTGACTGGGGAATTTCATTTTATCCTTTTTACTTTGAAATAACGAGTGGTTCGACAAAGAGAAGATCTCTAAGTTGAGGCAGAAGCAGTAGGGGTGGTCATTTAATAAATGCTTAGGGATCAATTTTCGTCTGCTTCTAATGCGCAATGTACTTTTATATACATTAAAGCTTAAAATAATTTGACTTATTTATCATTTAAGTTTTTGGTTATCTCATAGATAAATATTTATATTATTTTAAAAATTTAATTTTTGAGTTAAGAAGAAAAGTGACAAGGGGAAAATATCGTAATAATAAAGTGAATTAATTTATAAAACTTATTTGAGCTTGAATTTAAGTTAAGCTGGAATTTCAGATCATCTATAATATGCAATATAGTTTTGTATACATTTAGATCCTAACTGATTTAATTTAATTATCATTCAAGTTTTTTATTATCTTATAGATAAATATTTTTACATTTAAAAAAACTTAATTTCCGATTTTTGAGTTAGAAACGAGTTGCAGAGTTCGGATTTATTTCGATAGGTGTTAGTTGAGTTTCGACTTTTGAGTAGAAAAAGAAGGGAAAAGTGGAAAATAATTATGAAATTTAATATTCATTTAAGTGCTTAATTATATTGCTGATAACTTATATTATGCGATGATTATTTTACTGATAAGTTAACGAACGAATTTTTTTTAAATAAGATCATCTTCGCTTCTTCTTAAAAACCAGTATTTCAATGAAAATTTGCTCTTACCTTTCACTGAGAGAAAAAAAAATTAAAAATTACCAGAATATGGTAAAATTTGCCGTGTTTCTGGCTCAATGGGAACACCAAAGAGCTGGGTAATTTTTACCTCAGCGCTTTGGTAATAATTTTAGTAAAATTAACAATAAAATATGGTTTTATAACGTGTGATAAAATTTGGTAAATGAGGTAATATTTGGTAATTTTTCATGATATCTTAGGGATGGCATAAAAGCCATTCATTCGATAAAATTTACTTTTTAGCTTCGTATTTTTTACAAAATGTATTGTAATAAGAACCATAATTTAAAAAAAGAAAAAGAGAAAAACAGAATTCCCGGTAAACAGTTACTACATGAAAGGAAAAACTACCAATACAATGATTATATACAATACATTTTGGTTTCATTAATTTAGAAGTATTGTTTGTTTTTTTATACAAGAAATGTCATTACAGTATAGTATTGCAATTTCATCAGAATTTAACCCCCTCGTGAATTTAAATAGACGATTCCATGGTTCAGCTTGAGCAAAAGTTAAAGTCAATTTAACAACTTTTTTGAGTTGCAGAAAATTTACATAGTTTTACAAATTTACATAGTATATAAAAAAATTTATATAAAAAGTATATGTATAATAGAGAGTATATAAAAAATGATAACAGTATAATTTTATACGAAGTTCATAGTAAAAGAAAAACATAGAACACAAGTATTTATCCATTAATATATAATATATAATTAAAAATTATAAAAATATGTATTTAAAAAATAATGCTAATTTTTTTGTTGTAAAATTTGTCATGTAATAGCCTTTTTGAATAGCCCTGATTTTGAAAAATTTTATATATAATAGCGTTGTTGAAACATAAAGTATTTTTTTTTTACTATTCAATTTCCAAAAATCTTTTAAATTTTCCTTAAAAGTTAGTTGCAGAGAAGTTACAGAGAAGTATCAAACTGTATTTGAGCTTTCAAAACAACATTAGTTTGAGTATTCAGTTCAATATACTTGCGTATATTCTGACTAGATTGTTCCACTTACTTTATACTCCAGAAAATTGGGAAAATTTTTGTATAATTTGGTACTGATTCATTAGTTTTTATTATAATTAATTTCATCATTTTCTGAAAGATTTTTTTCATTCATTTTGAAATTTTTAAAACTTATTTTTGTTTTTTATTCTCTGCTTTCTCTTTGTTTTCTAATTTAGTCTATGGATTACCTAACTGAATAATATATGTTATCTAATTTATATAGAATTTCTTTTTTATATTAGTTTCTAAGCTAAAAATTGTTAGTTTCTAAGTTACAAAGTTCATTTTTTAAAGCTTAGAATTCATGAACTGAACATTTTAGCTCAAGTTGTTAGAATTTCATGTTTAAACACGGAAGAATATTAGCCATTCATAACTAATAATTAGGTTTAAATTATGGTTCTTAAGTATTTTATTTTTAAGTAAAGTATTTTTATTGTAAAGCTTTTACCTGAATTTACATCTTTATTAAGCGATCGAATTAAATTCGCTTACAGTTTGCATTGGTTTTAAATAACTTTCTTTTGCGTATTATTTTTTGGTCGATTTCCTCCAATTTTAAAATTTAGAAGAAATCCAATTTGTTTTTTTTTTCTTTTTTACCCAATTTCAAGCATTTATTAGGTTTTAAGTAGTCTTTAACTGTTTACTAGTTCCTGAGTTTTTCTTTTTCAATTTTTAATTAATTTATCACATTAGTAAATAAAGTGATAAAGATTCTTTTCATTTAAAAAATAATGATTTTAATAAAAATTGATTTCTTCAAGATTTCCTACTAAAATGCAATTCAATTATTCTAGTTAAAAATGTTTTGCTTCTAAACATTTCACACATGTTTTACAGCCGAACATTTTACACATGTTTTACTGCCGAATGTTTTCTTCTTATAAAAATACTAAAATTCACTACTTCAGTTGGTAAACCAGAATAAAATTTACATTTTAAATTTAAATTTTTAGTCATTTAAAATCTTTCGTCGTAAGTAAGTTGAGCAATATTTCTCTCGAAGGTAGCCTATGTTTTTACAATTTTGTGAAATCTCTTTGCTTACAAAACTACTTTTAAATTATGAAAAATGAGAGCAAACCATCTTGATTTATATGTTTTTGAAATAATTTAAATGTTTCTAATCCAAAAGTAAATACTTCCAGATAAATTTATTTGTTTTTTTAGAGTAAGATAAAAATAAATTTTATTTCTATATCATTTCCTTTTCAGTTAAGTAGATAATTAATGTAAAAAGAAGAATTACGCAACAAATGCATAGCTTAAAATTGTTAGATTGATGAAAAAATTTATATTCGGTGTACCCCAGGTTGCTACNATATATTCTATATAGTTTTGTATGCGAATTACATAATAGCATATATGTATTAATAACCATATAATCACATGCATGTATGTACAAACGAGTATATAATAGCATATATATACGTAGAAGTATAAAATTGCATATATATATATGCTAACTATGTTTGCATTAAAAAATGCATAGGGAGTTTAAAGAAAAAAAAAAAGAACTCTTTCTTCATTGTTTTTTAAGACAATCATTTCAAAATGCAAGGAAAAATTTCGCACTTATAGTTTTGAATGTTCTTTTAAATGAATTTAATTGTACACATTATGCAATGTGTAAATTTGGTGTTTAGTGAAATTATGAAACTCCTATTACGGAAAAAAATTAATGTAATTAAAAATATTTCTTTTTTAGTCTAAAAATTTTATTTCACATAACATCATTCTTTTACCCGTATTTTCATCGTAGCTTTGGTGATTTCAAGATATCTTCACAGTAATATTCGTATAAAAAAAATCCTTTAAAAATATACTTACATCCATGAAAATGCGTGTGTGACTCCTGAACATTTTTTAAGAGAAAAAGAAAAATATCTTTTTCAAGAGGTGAGTGTTTGAGTGTTGAGTGTTTTTTAGTGGTTGTAACTTTTACAACAAGAATTAAATGTGAGCTATTCAGCATTTACTAGCAGAACTTTTTTATTTTGAGAAAACCCTGTACTGTTAATGTAATAAAATGAGATTTTATGCTTAATTTTTCTTATGTACACCAATCTAAAATCATTATTATTATATATAAAAAGTATTATTTTTGAAAGGTATATTACATCGTTTATATCATTTCCCAACTTTATTTGCTTGATTGTAGTTAAAACTTGAAATTTACTGTATACGTGAGCTTGAACAAAATTTTTTGAATCAATTTAATCAGTAAACACTGTTTTCATGAATTGCATTAGTTATACATTTTTAATACACATTTTTATATTTTTCAAAATTATTGTAAAGATAATATACACTTGGGACGATCTTTTTACTCACAAATTAAAATTAAAGAGAGGAAAAATTTGTCGAATTACTATTGCGGAATGTAGGGTTTCAAGAATATCAAAACCAGTTTGATTTCCGGAGGAAATTTAATAGTGTTTTTACTTATCACCTTTTTAATAAAGTTTTTCGACTAAATTTGATAAAAATTTGATGAAATTCAGATAATTGTTTTTTTCATTAGTCAATTTTAACTAGTGACCCTTAATAGTGTGTATAGATTTTTCTTCAGTTTTAACAAGTATTCCGAAAATATAGGTAGTGATAGCGGTACACCTTGTATGTATCGAAAAATTAAAGAAATCCCTTATAAATAGCTACCAATTTAAAAAAAAAAAGAAAATGTAAAATGATAAAATTATTAATTGAAATTTTTTTTTTTTAATTCAGAGAGTTTCGTTGGAACAAATATTACTCAGTTTAATTAATAACTTTTAATTCCCCCCACATTTCTTTAAGGAATCGTGCTTTCTTCATAATAATTTATTCCTTAAAAAAGCAAATCATTTTCTGAAATTTTCTTCTTTCATATTTTGAAGTTTACAAGTAGTGAATATTTGTTAATTGTTTGCCACTTGCGTATTACATGAGTATAGTGTGCAGCAATTTTTAATAATACATAGCTTAGTAATTTTAGTTTCTCGTGCTCTTTTCTTTCTAGCTTATTTTAGTTAATATTTTTTTAAAAATAAAACGCGAAAATTGGTTTTGAGAAATTGTTGTTTCATATGTTGTCGTACATAGATTATACTTATTCTGTCAATTGATTACGGCTTACCTATTACGCCCAGTTTCAAAATTTATTAATAATATTCAGAGTGATTTTAGATTTTCACACGGGAAATGACTGCTTTTATTTCTACCTCGTCCAATCCAAATAA